ACTAATAAATTAAATTAATAATATATATATATATATATATATATATATATATATATATATATATATATACACACATATATATATATATATATATATGTATATACATAGACAGACACTTACGTACATATATCCGATCACATAGTTATATAAATATATACATATACATAAAATATATACTTTGTTTATCTTAAATATGTATATATATCCATATAGATATATATAGTGATACTAGCAGCTAGGCAAGTTCAATAAGTGAACCGACCAACTTGCCTAGCTGTAAATGTCACAATAAATCACAATGTATCCCTATATATACATATACATAATTATGCACATACATGAATGCGTACACATGAGCAAGATTATGCACAAGCAGAACTAATCAGAACGTCAGCGTCCTGCTTTTATGGTGCCCATACCTTTGCGTCTGGATTGAAGTCTGGGTCGAACAGCACATCGTTGTTCTGCAGCCGCGCCATTGGGACCTGAAAGTACTTGCTGTGCTTTCCTGAGGGGATGCCGTGATACAATAGACAAGTCAACAACCATATCAATACAGCCATATCTGGCGGCGGATGGATCGAACGCATCTCGACCGCAAGACACACGCATATATCACATACATACAAACTCCCAGTACACAGCCATACCCTGTGTGGCCGTGGTAGATACTATCTTGGCCCACGCACTGGTTGTGAAGTAGCAGTTGCCATCGAACGGTAGAATCCATTTCGCTCCAGCCGCGCGCCCCTGGAATTCCGTATGGATTATTATGATTATGCTTTAGTTGTTAACCATGTTTTACGCCCCTATACCCCTACCATTCCCTGGAATTTCGTATGGATTATTTTGATTATGCTTTAGTTGTTAACCATGTTTTACGCTCCTAAACCCCTACCATTCCCTGGAATTTCGTATATATTATTTTGATTATGCTTTAGTTGTTAACCATGTAATACGCTCCTAAACCCCTACCATTCCCTGGGAGTTCGAATGGGATTGAGATCGGTGTTGGTGTATACTACGGATTGAGATGGTGTGTTTCTCTTGAGGGTTCGAATGGGATTTGAGTATGTTTTAGATGTAAATTAGTTTATGCTGAACCCGTGCTCTCAGGCTAGCACACTATTCTAATTGCACGAAATACCTATCATGCTCTATTCAGATATCAAAGTGATCCCACTATAAATATTCGGGCGACGCACACATATCGTTACAACTCTCAATACTCGTATATATATATGTATATATAAATATAATATATATATATATATAAGGATAAATGGATAAATGGATATATATATATATATATACATATACATATAAATACATATATACATAAACATACACATGCCTGTATATATATATATATATATATATATATCCAGACACCAAGCACACACTCGAGTAGAACAATCCGTATATACCCACTCCCAGATGCTCATACCAGCCGTATCATGGAATTGCGCGCTCCATTGTTGTTCATCATGTACAGGATGCGTTTGTGATGCATCTCGTCATTGATCAGTGCCTGCACCTTCTCCTCCTGGTGGCGATAGTATCTGCTTCTCAGTACATCTGGGACCGGAAACTCTTCAAACCGAGTCTCTCTCTTCTCGTATTCCTCTGGATCGTAAACCAACTGCGTATACTCCTGCAATGCCGATGGAGTGGTTTGCGAGTGTGGGGTTGAGAAGTATACGAGATGGTGATTCTTGAACTGAGCTATGTATGCCTTCTGTATGTATGTACAGTGAGAGCCTGGGAACTCGATATACATGCAGCGAATTTGATGGGCATCTCATTCATATACAGTACACTTAGATACAAAGCACTACACCAACTCGAATAGCCCGTTTGCTACCCGGGTTTGAACAACAATGTCCACATAGCCACGACACACCGCGTGAATCCCTTGATACTTGAGATTGTATAGTATAGACAGCACGCTACTCTACCTGACCATAGTCGTGCAGCATGTTGATGATGCGGGTTTCTTCGGTAGTGTTTAGTATCCTATTTAGCAACCAGTGCTTTCTGCACCCCTGTAGGTCGGGTTCATTGTCCAGAATGAATCTGTAGGTGGATATAGAGCCGAGTGTGGTATGAGCAAGGCCGCATACTTCTAGTAGTAACAGGGATCTATCACATAGTGTGATCAAGGTGTACATACGGCATACGAACTCGTATACAGTGGCAAGCACAGGATGACATCTTCCGATTGATTGGACAGACTGTGGTAAAGTACGTTTCATTCAGGACGAGTGTGGGGCAGTCGTATTCCAGTAGTCAGTGCGCAGGATTGGCCTTCAACATGTCAGATGTTAAGCTAATTCGTATACTGGTAGGACAAATGGGACAATGCCACTGCAGATGTAGATGGTTTTGTAGTATCGAGATTGTAGGAGGTTTTGTAGTATCGCGAGTGTAGGAGGTTTTGTAGCATCGAGAGTGTAGGAGGTTTTGTAGTATCGAGAGTGTAGGAGGTTTTGTAGTATCGAGAGATGCCTTGATGATTCGGCCGTGTGCGTTTAACCCGACAGAGCGGAACTCTAGGCGGCAGGTATGGACAGAATTGTGGCAAACAACTGTAAGTAACAGGACAGGGGTGTTACCTAAACCAAGGGAAATAAACCGAGGCACCGGTTGGACATACGCCTAAACCCAGGACAAGACTGCCAGAAACAGGCCAGGGATATTATCTTATTCATAAACATCGGGTTCTTGTCTCACCACAGATACACTTTGACATACTCACTCACAGCTTACTCGACATTGTCGTGTAGCTGTTCGATTCTACAACACCCACAGCTTACTTGACATTATCGTGCAACTGTTCGATGCTACAACACCCACAGCTTACTTGACATTGTCGTATGACTGTCCAATTTTATGTCTGGGTGGCAGATCATTTCCTATGGCTCGGAAAAGCATAAAAGGTGTTGAGATTGGTGGCAGCTTGGATATGTGAGCTGCTCTGAGTTGTCCGCTGGTTGTTGCTGGTAGATTCGCTTCCCTTGGTGGTACGTTTTGCCTCTCATCTGACGGGCTAGGTGTTTGTGCCGGTCTGTATGATCGGAAGCGGTTTGGGTGGTGTATTGAGCGATGGTATAGGTCTGGAAATAGACCAGAAGATAGGGGAGGGATGGAACGGACCTCTGAGAAGTTGTTTGAGACAGTATCGATCTACTTCAGTACAGGCCACAAACGTACGTATCACAAGAGGTGTATGTGTATGTGTGTATGTGTATTAGAATTAATGTATATATGTGTATTAGATTTTATGTATATATACATGTATGTATATACTATATTGTATATATTATATATTATATAGCTGTAGTTGTATATATTATATATATATATATATATATACACATTCATATACATTTCTATATCTATATGCAAGCATAAATACATATACATACATACATAGGCACATACACACACACACAGATATATATATATATATATATATGTATGTATACATGCATATGCATGTGTATATACATCTACAAACGTCTCATACTTCCGAGGCAGAAGCAAGGGAAACTGTGAAATTGATAAGTACACCCACTGTATATAGGGACAAAGAGGTAAAGGTATATCTTACCTTACTTCTATACAAGAAACTCATGTTATGACTAACGCACATAAGAGAGTTCGTCAGATAATGTTATTTGATGAGCTCAAAGCCACCCTATAGATGTTCGTGCTACAAATTATTTGGTACAATCTACTAGGTGATGCAAATGTTAATCTGTATAAATATGTGAGAGTATATACATAAATAAATATACGTAATAATATACAAATACAAATATAAATATACATATAATAATATGAATATATATGTATATATATATCGACACATACTTACATATATATAAATTATATATATTTATATGTGTGTGTGTCTATGTGTTTATATATAGATTTATATATATATATAAATGTATGTATGTATGTAGTAAGTATGTATATGTACGTATACGTAAATGTAAAATTAAAATAAGAAGTATAAGTATATATAAGTGTATATATATATATATATATATATATATATAATTAATATATACACACAC